CTCAGAGATGTGTATAAGAGACAGTATATATATATATATATATATGTGTATTGCTACTTTTGATATAATTATTAAGAGATTAATATAATTTACAGGAAGTGCTCAGTCAAGTGACGGAAGATTATCCAACGATAATTTTAAGCGATATATCTCCTCAGGACATAAAATTGATTATCGAATTCATATATCATGGTGAGATCCATGTTCCCGTCGAAAATATCAGGAGCTTATTTGAGGCCGCGCGATCGCTAAAAATAAGCGGTCTTCATGACGTTAGTATCAAATTATTTCTTTGCCAATTATATATTTTCTGACACGGACTGTATAAAATTTTGGGCTTTCTGTCTGTGGGACTTTATACATACTTACAATTGAAGCGAATTGTTACCGAGCTTATAATTTATACAATTACAAGTTGAAGTGAATTGCTACTGAATTTATAATTTATACATGCTACAGTTTGGAACTGTATACAAGTTTATAATTGTCGCTTGTACCTTCAACAGATAGATGGAATTGGAGAGAGCGAGATTTTTAGAGGCAGAAAAGATTCTACGGAAGAGACCGCGACGGAGGTGGGAGAGGTCGAGAACAAGGCTGGATCCGCGGAGAGTGAGTCGCAGGAGCCGAGCGCCGCTGAAAATTGTATTTCAAATAAGAAGAGGAAACGTCGCCGCGAGACTGTGAAGAGGGATTACAATGACGACATGTTGGCGTCCGCGATTAATGACTTGAAGTTGGGTCAAACCCTAATAGAGGCTGCCACTAAGCACAACATACCGCGCTCGACGTTGTACATGCGGGCGAAGGCTTTAGGCATACATTTAAACGCGTCGAGGAATGGATATCCCGCAGAGTGCATGAATGCGGCTATAAACGCCGTTATCAGTTAGTATTTTTCTTATATTTCGCTTAGTCTTGCTTTTGTTGTTTAAATTCTGTATATCTTAACATTGAATTTATTCTGATACGCGACACATGTCTGCAGTTATTTAATAATTTATATTAAGATCTTATTTAATAATTTATATTTAAGATTTTAACTTGTGCTTAACTTTATGCTTATTTTATCGTAGACGGTTCGAGCTTGCAGCATGCGTCGGAAATATTTAGAATACCTAAAACCGTGCTGTGGCGACGTATACAAAAGGAGGGCTATCAAATCCTACGGCCTGAAATGAAGAGGTCTTATGCCTTGGACACGAGAGAGGCCGCCGTCAAGGCTCTAGAAAGAGGGGAAAATCTGACGAAAGTTGCTCTGGAATTTAAAGTAAATTTTAACTCTCTACTTCGTTGCGTTAAAATTTTTTTCTATTTTCGTCGCGAAAACAGACTTTAACGATTGTCAACCGAATTGTAACCCGAGATACTCCCCAATGATGCCTAGATACCAAAGACTACATTGTTTAGAGAAAAGGCACGGCTGGTAGATCAAGGTAAATTGCCGCTGTCCTTCTGGAAGAAGCGCAAAACTGAGAACGAGGAATTGAAGAAGTCGCGACTGGAGGAAGCCGTGGCCGCCTGCAAGGGCGGCAGAATGTCGCAGGCCGCGGCGTCCATGACGTATCGCATTCCAAAGACGACGATATGGCGAAGGCTCCAGCAGGACGGGAAGAAAGCGGAGAAATCGTCGAATGTGAAGAAGCAACAGCGGCTGGCCGATGCGCCGGTAGTGCACGACGCTCAGGTGAAGCTACAGGACACGTCCAATTTCAATTATTGCGAGGTAATACATTCGTTGCGCGAATTAAGGTACCCACTCGTGTGCGCGTCACATGTTATTTGGGAAATAACTAATAAATTAATTGTGTACCAAGGCACAAATAATTGGTCCACAGACGTTGATTTGATGTCTATAGACGTCGAATCGACGTCTGTGGACCGATCATTTCCGCCTGGGTAGTGACTTCCAGCACTGTCGCGTTCGACGCGTTTACAGTTGAATTTATCCAACTGCAAAAGCGTCATCACATTTGTCGCCAGTGTTCAAAAGTTCGTACGCAAATGAGGACTTGAACTCACAAAGATCATAATTGTTTTCAACAACGAAAGATTGTTATAAATTATGACACGTGACGCGCGCGTCAAATGACGCGCACACAAATTGGTACCTTTATATCGAATCCCTTCGGCAATAATTTCTGAATGCTTAATGGGTTTGCGCAGGTTACATCGGAAATACCTATAACTTATATAGACGAGAACAGTATACCCGAGGATTCCGTGATAATTTTGACAACGGAGGAGATGGATGAATTGAATTTGGAGGGAGGCAGGCAAATTATTGTAAATTCGGTACGTCACGAATAATTTGTGATAATTTTTTTACGAACTTAACGAATAGCGGATTAATCAATTTTTATGCTTTTACTGCCATGATCCATCTTTATTTTCTTCAGGAGTCCGGACAGGAGTTTATTCCGTGTACGATAAGTATCGAGGATAATTCAAACTATTCGGAGGCTGGGAGTTAGCGATAGAAAAATAAATAATGAAAAGCTAATTATTTAACATAAATTAAAGCTTAATTTGCACATTGACTGTACAATTTTATTTATGACGCTTTAACGAAGTATATAATATTACTACATTATGTTTATTTTTACATATCAAGTTTATAAAGTATTTTATTTTTTTGTACAAAATTGAAGAGTGCTATATAATGGGGACGAATTTTTATTTAATGAGAAAGATAAATTGTTATTTGCGTTCTTATTTTTGTTAAAATATTTTTATTACGTATAATTGGATAATTATATAATTAATTTGTATTTAATTATACAATTAAATACAAATTAAGTAATATATTTCAAAATTTATGTATTATGTATTAAAATCATGATACGTGTTTTGTAATTAATAGTAAGCGTCATTTCTGAAATAACTTTCTAGAAAATGAAGAAAATGTTATAATGTAAAAAAGTTTTGTTCAATATATTTTTACATATAGATCATTTTATTTATATCACTAATTACAAAACTGTATATAATATAAAATATATAAAGTTCAGTATATATGTATATAATAAAATAAAAATGTAGAAAATTTTTTGATAAAGTTTGATTAAATAAAGCTTTAGATATTAAAAACATTTTTTTAAATAAATTTTTTTTTTTAAATGATGTCTCAATATAAGAAAAATTAATAATTGAAACAAACGTGTGAAAAATGCTATATTTTTTTTATTCATAAATTTGTAGAGTATCGATAGCATTAATATTAATTATTGAAGTAAATAACTTTTTGCAAGATTATTGTATAAAAGGATAATTTAGAATTTCTATCTAATCGGCCAAGTTTTTTATATTTTACTCTGATTTCGAGTTTTGTATGTATTTTTTATACGACTTGAAATTTTACGAATCTTGCAGGCGTCGCGCGCGCATCATCTAATTGTCTATAAAAATAAATCTTGATCGATAGCAATGCTGCATTTGATATGCTCGCGCGAAAACAACGATTATAATTGTTAATTAATTCACGCTTGTGCATTTCAAGACCGATTTATTCCGTATGTTTTATTAATAAACGATAAAATAGAGAAGGGCAGGGATAAATAAGCACGAAAATATACGAAAAATTAATGGTAAAAAAAGAGAAGAAAAAAAAAGGAGACAGTGGTGCAGTGTCTGAAACTTCCGAGCGCGCATTGCGCAAGTCACACGCTGCACACGCATCCGACGCATCGGTATGCGCGATACGTGCCCCGCTCGTGGACGCGCGCGTCGCAATTGCGCATATTACGCGAACACGCGGTCGCAGTGAACACCACGTCGAAGGGGCTGCTCGAGGCCGACCGTGGAGGCGGTGAGTCGCGTTGTTGCACCACCGCGAAAAAGGGAGGCGGGGAGTGTGTTCTCTTTCACCAGGAGAGGAGCGAGAGAGAGTCCGCGCGGCGCGAACGCCGACGTTACATTCGTGACAGACGCGACGAGAGTCGTCGCGCGGAGCGTGCCGTGTCGTGTCGTGTCGCGTTTGACGTGACGTCGCGACTCGTTCCTGCCCCCGACGCCCGAAACTCTGCGGAGACTCCTAAGCGGCGGCGAGACCCTGCTGCGCCAGGAGGAGAGGCGGCGACTCTGAGAGCGGAAAAATCGCGTACGTCTCGCGGGAGGACATGCCGGACAGCGGGGCCGTCTACCAGCCGACCACCGTCGGCTACACGTACGACAGCGGCGGCGACGGCAGCGGCGGCGGCGGCGGCGTCGGCGGCGGCGGCGGCGCCGCCGGGCTGAGGCACGGCTTCTGGCGCGTCATGTCCAGGCACAAGCTCAGCTCCAGGAAGTGGCTCGAGTGGACGCTGCTGTCGGTCGCGCTCTGCTTCTTCGTCGCCGGCCTCACGACCATGCTCGTCAGCCTCGTCTCCGCGGACGACGCGTCCTCGGGGACGAGCGACGGCGCTGCTGCGGAGGTAAAAATCGCGCGCGCGATATATATACATATATATATGTAGGACCATACATCGTATAAATGTATTTATCATTTTTTTGAGAGACTTCCTTCCGTAACATAAGAATCTTCCTTGCGGTAATAAAATAATAAAAGACATAAATTAGCCTAGAAAAATTTAGAGTGAAATTTTAATACTGAACGATTGTCAAATTTTTCTTCCAAAATCGCGCGCGATTGTTGTGTCGCGATATATATATAAGATCATACATCTTATAAATATATGTATCATTTTTTGAGAGACTTTTCCTTCCAAACATTTTTTAAATCTTCCTTGCGGTAATAAAATAATAAGATACATAAATTCGCTTAGAAAAATTTAGAATGAAATTTTACTAGATGATTGTCAAGCATTATTATTTTTCCTCAAGCTGAACTGGGCCTTAATTTTTATTTTATCTGCATTATATAGCTATAACTGATATAAAACAATATGTAACAATTATGCAGATGAAGCCAGAGGGACACTCCACGTCGGCTCCGGATGTACACGCCGAAAATACGGGAAAGAGTTCCGTGGCGTTGGGCGCCGGGATAATGCTGGTCGGCGTGCTGCTCGGCTTCGTCTGGGCATGGCTCACCTTCTTCCACCACAGCAAGTCGCCGAGGAATGGCATGACGAGCAGCAGCGGTCAGGTAAGCAAACGAGGTTTTCCACCTGCCGATAACCAATATATATATATATATATATAATTTTTTTTTGCCCCGTAATTTTTATTTTTTACAACCGGAGGCCATCCGCGCTCCGGTAACCGCGGTTTCTGGTACCAGTTGTTTGTGTTTCTTTTATCTTATGTACGCGTTGCTATGAGGAAAGATGTTGGGCGGTTTGAATCCATCGACTGACTTGCTGGTGGGTTCCACTTCGCAGTACGGGCCGGTACTCACCGAGGTGCCGAGCCAGCTGAAGATAAAGCAAGCCAACGCGCACGACATGCCGGCCATACCGCTCTCCGACCAAGAGGAGGAAATGCACACGCTAATGCAGGACTCGGCGAGCCCGCCGTCGGTCTCCGTCGGGTCGAACGCCATCGCTAATCAAATTCCAGGTTAAGTAGAACCGAGAATCGCCCCCCCCCCTGTCCACCCCCCCGCGTGCACGAGCACGCGCGTGTACTTAAGCGCATTTATAAACACGAGGACATAGCTTTCGTTTTATAAATTTTTCTAACACGTTCCAAGAGATTTGCTTTGATATTCGCTTCGACGATCTTGCGGGTTTCTCTCCGTTTTTCGTTTTAAGACACGAGATGAGGGAGACTCTTCGTCGTCTCTCTTTTGATCTTCGATTCTTCTACCGTTTGACGTCGATCCTGTGATTCAGAAATTTTTATTCCATTTCAGAAAGTTGGACACTTTTTTTTCTTCGTAATTGATAGAAGTTTTATTTTAGACTTAGGCGAGTTGACGAGTGCGATTTGAGAGATCTCGTTTGTAGTATATTTAAGGCGTTATAGTACTTATTTTTGTCTTTTTTTTTTCACTTTTGTGCTTATTGCATTTCTTCATTCCGTCCACTGTCGTCATTTAATATGTTAAGTGAGCATTGGATCCAGATAGAGAAAAAAAAGAACGCAGTACGCGTTACGATGACGTCTCGTAAGTTTGATAACAATCTTTACATCACAAGTACTGAATTTATTACGAGATATCTTTTAACTTATATTTATATTATTAAAATATAAAATTTTATTTACACACACTGCATATACGCTTTATGCAAATTTGCACGCGTTCTAGGCGAATCCTTGAAAAAAAAAAGAAAGAAAAAACAATTTTGCCTCGATTTGACTATATGCGCTCATGAGGATATCGGTACGCATAACACGTATATATTTAAGTACCAAGTCTAAATTAGTAATAAAAATAGCAATTATTATTGACAATATACATTGTAAATTAAATGCATTATTGGTGCAGTGTATCGATTAAGTCCGGTAATCGTTATTGTAAACTAATATATGAATCGATTATGTATATATATAATGTAATGTGTATATACGAAACACACACATGTAAAACGAAACGACTGCAATATCAGAAGGTGCTTGACTTAAAAGAAAAAGAAAAAAGGAAATACGTTTACGACGTGCTTGAAGCCGCGATGAGAGAGCCGCAGAGCATGCCGCGATGCACAACTTCCAATTTTTTTTTTTGATGGTCTACTTTTACATTTTTACTTTTAATTTGTGATATACACAAAGAGATTTGATATCGCACATGATATTACAATCATAAAGTGATTCTTTACGACGGATACGTTTTTTTGCTTCAAATGAAATATGTACTTGCACATCTTCCAATGATTTTATATACAATTAAATTGATCTCTCACGTAGACTTAATGTAAATGTAGTTGCTCATCCTGTAAGATATTTTTAACGGAATCTATAAACGTTAGAATTCTGGGCATGGTACATGCAGCATTGTATAAAAAAACACACCGATTAAAAATAATTTTTGTATGTCTGTGTCGTTGTATTTGCTATAAAGCGATGTGTTCAGTTTTTGTAATAATGCGACGAGCATTCTTTTGGAGGAGCCACATCAAAGGACGGCCTGTAAGTTTGTCTGAATTCAATGCTGTTACAGATCAATCACACATATACAATCTCTATTTTTTTTTTTTTTTTTACATTTCCGCGAGATCCTTATTGTGCCTGTGTTATTGATTTGTGTGTACTAATTTATGTAAATGTTCTGGAAATGTAAGATAAATAAACATAAAAAAATACAACTCACGATCCTTTTTCTCTTCGCGTTAAAATATTGACATTTACGTGATCTGAATTAAAAAATCTAATTTCCAGTGTTTTTCGAAAAAAATCCTTCCTCTTTCCCTGTAGATCAGCGTCCGAGTGCTGTAACTGTCACACGAGAAAGTTAATCGTCGATTAAGTTAACGGGATTTGATTAAAGTTATTCTCTGAAAATTATCGATTTTCTGAGACAATTATCTCAGTTTTCAACAATCTACGATTGAAATGAAGCGCGCAAATTTTTCTGAATAAAGCCAGCCAGTCTAATCTCTTTGATCTCTCAAAAACATCTCTCAAAGTTGCTGATATTTTTAATATTATTACTTATCTCTCCGATAGCAAAGATATGCCTCGCACATAGATAATAATACAGGAAAATCAGTCGGATTTTTCTTCGTCGAGTAACGACGCTGACGTAGCGAACGACAGTAAAACCCGCATCGTCGAGACGTGTCGTCGCCTCGAGAGGAAGGCACGTCGCGAGAACGTGCTAAGGGCATACCTGTCGCTCAATATTTCGAGCACGCCTCGGTAGCACGAGGTTAACGCGTTTGACATTTCTATCAGCTGTCGCGCTCAATATGGCGGCCCGCGAGACGCGTTTTCTACCGCGGCGCTGGAGAGACGCCTCCGTCAGGACGAGCGCGGCGAGCGTTACCGAGATTCTCTGAAGAGCTGCGGATCGCGACGAGAGAGCGACCCGGCGGGCTCCGCGATGGCGGGCAACGACGTGGTGCTGGAGGGATTCATATGTCCGATATGCATGACCGACTTCAAGGCGCCCGGTCATCTGACGAGGCACTTCGAGGAGGTTCACAACGACGACCCGGAGATCCTGAGATCGCTGAAAGGTAAAGCGCGATCTTTTCGCACGATTTAACTTTTGTCGTGGAAAAACTCGCGAAATCCTCCGTTGCGTTTAGCTGCACTAAGCTCGTAAAAATGCGTAATAACGAACGTATAGAATGTGTATGGAATATTGGGTCTTGTGTTTATTCCAGACCTGTTCGGCAAAGCCAAGAAGAAGATCTTGAAGCAGGACGATCTACCGGAAACGTTTCCAAGCGCGATACCGCAGGAGAAGAGGCGGAGTCCTGAGATCAATTGGGGACCACAAGAAATAGGTAGCGCGTGTGACACTTGCGTGCCAAAGCTGCGCCCGCGACGCGGGAGATGGGTTTTCTCATTAAAAGTTTCCTGAAGCAGCCAAGTTTGATGGGCTTTTCAGTTTTCCCAAAATTAGTATTCGGAAATTGCGCGCGGCTGAGACATGCACTGGAATTTGATGAGACGTCACTGTTGTTAATTTCCAAAAACAATTCCAGGTGAAATTACGTCTCATACAAGGTATTTCAAGGATATAAGAAACGCCCGGCTGGAGAGATACGCGTACGAGACAAATAAGCTTCTTATAAGGCTAGATAAATTATTAAATAACTTACCGTCGGATCCCGTCGATAGGAAAGGTAGGAGAAAGCACATGAAATTGTTCTTCATCGATGCGTTTTATGCCACATTTATATATAAATGATGCGTAATGCAAAAATTCCAACAGCTCACGAACGCACCATTGTGCCGTGGATCGATGAGAAGGATGTGAAATTGTGTCCCAATTGCGCCAAGAGCTTTCATCTGGCGAGGCGAAAACATCACTGTAGATTGTGTGGAGCAGTAATGTGCCATAATTGTACAGTATTTTTGTCCCTGATCGACGCACGTACGTATGAAACGCGTATTTAAAATTATCGAAACAGTTTGAACGCGATTCCTAAAGTTACACCTAACGAAAAAGGATCAACAAAGGAGTTTTTCTTTTTTTACAGGAAAAATGACTAGTCCCGTGTCGATACAAGACGACTCCGCTCTGTCGCCTACGTCACAACGAGCGTTTCCCGTGAGAGCGATACGCGCGGGCGCTGGTCTCTCCAAATTAGCGCGATCACCGTCCAACGGTAGTTTGAATAGCGTTTTATCCCTGGTCAACGATTCGAGCAGCAGCGAACAGCACTTTCGAGTATGCATGCACTGCATAAACTTGCTCGACGCGAGGGAGATGCAGAAGGCGAAGCAATTCGACAAACCGATCGTTTGTGAATTTTACGAGAAAATGAGGGAGTACATGAGCGAGGCGTCGCAGCATTTAGCAATGTACAACAAAATGTGGGAATCGTTGAAGTACGTGATACAATATACCTTCTCCATTGTATAATACTTAAGATAAGACGCGTCTGTCTATTTTTATATCCACATTAAAAATTGTACACAGAGCGACTTCTTGGGTGTACAACTTTTACCACTTATAGAGCTAGCTGTTGGAAAAAAATTGTATTAGAATGTTCATAAAACTATTTCAGAGAAGGCGAGACCACATACGGTCTGGAGGATGCACAATCGCTACGAGTCAAGCTGGCAAAGCTGGGGGAAAACATTGATGCGACCAGCAAAAGAATTCTAGTCCACGGCGTGAAGAAGGACACGGCGGATTCGCAGGAGGCATTGGGACAGGAATTGCGGTTGTATCAGATGGTCAGAACGTCGGCGATGATATTTTTGAAGGAGGAGCTGTTAACTCTGCAACCCTTACCCTCGGCGGAGGAGTACGCGGTTTTGCAGGAGGAACGTCAGAAGAGGATAGAAGCCCGAATAGCGTACGAGCGGCAGCTGGAGGAAGAGCAACGGGAGAAGCCGAAGGAACAGCGCAAGAAAGATACGTGGAATGTGGACAGCAGTCCAGCTTTGAAAACCAATCAGGTAATATATTTATATGTAACAAATTAGCAGATGACTGAAACAATTTCAAATCTTATATAATCACATTTATAATATCAATATTCAATAATAAGATCCAATCGATAATGAAAAAACGTAATATTCAATTTATTATTTTTTAATGCTCTTAGCTTTTTTCGCGTTAATTATTACAATTAATGTCCGAGGACATTTTTCAAAATACAAGATATTTATTTCTCTATAAAAAAAAAAGAATAATTTGCATAATCTAAGATTTAGATTTTCTTGTCAGATCATTAATTATTTGTTGATACGACCGAGTTCAAGTTTCGTCATAATGGTCTTTAAATTTTTAGGCACAAGCGATGGTGACCCAGGCCCAAGGCTGGGGTCCGTCTCACATTACACCTATCATGTCTTCCTCCATGGACCCGATAATCGAACAGATGAGCAATCTTCGCGCGTATATCAAACAGGCCCGCGCCGACTGCAAGTACGACGAGGTCGCAACGCTGGAGAACAATCTTCGAGAACTTCAAAGTGCCTACTTTGCTATGAAACAAAGTAATAGTAATGACGGATAGACATATATTCGAAATAGCACATTTCTTGTACTTTCACATGTAAAATAGTTGAATTCTTCTATATATATATATATATAATGTATTATTATTAATTTGCAAAATATTTAATAAATCCTCTTGAATCAAAATCTTGGAACGCACAGTACAATCTAAAAAAGTCTAATATAAAAATTCGTTTTATATACTCATTAATATTACACATTTATTACTCCTACATTTAGAAATTAAATTTTGAAGTTCCTGCATTTTTACATTTCCTTTAAAATTATTGCAAATTTCGCAAAAGTATGTAGAATTTGTATTATATTACGATTTGTGCAAATATTGGAAAAAAAAAAAAAAAAACAAGATTAACACATTTGTTATATTTTTGATAACTTGAATGAATTTGTGCAAATATTCGCAAAAAAAAAACAAGACCAACACATTTGGTAATTTTTCATAATTTGAATCAATTTGTGCAAATATTTTCAAAAAAAAACAAGACTAACGCACTTATATTTTTGATAATTTGAATCCATTTGTGTAAATACTTACAAAAAAAACAAGACTAACCCATTAGTTACACTTTTGATAATTTATTAGTAGAAATACATTTTACTTCAATGGAATAAATCGCGAAGAATGGGTAGCACCGATACCAGGTCTACCGTGTTTAACAGGTTTGTATGTAACGGAGAACTCCCCGAGATAATGACCGATCATCTCGGGTTTGATCTCAACTTGGTTAAAAGTCTTGCCATTGTACACGCCAACGATCGAGCCAACCATTTCCGGAACGATAATCATGTTGCGCAAATGCGTCTTGACGATCTCGGGCTTCTCGTTGGGCGGAGTCTCCTTCTTCGCCTTGCGCAGCTTCTTGACAAGGGCCATGGACTTTCTTTTCAGGCCGTGAGAGAAGCGCCTACGTGCTCTCGCGTGCATCAAATCCATCAGCTGCTCGCTGAGAAAAAATTATTTGTCAATAAAACTCCTTTCTCAAATTTCCCCATTTCAAACGAGTGAAAGAATATATTGTGAAAATAGATTGTATGAAATTAAATATATATCGTTCAATCTTAAAATCGTAGAGGGAAACAATCGTTAGAAAAGATATAGGAAGAGCATAGATTCCAATACCATGTTTAGGTTAAGTAACAGTTACATAGGTTATGTTCGGAAAGTCGATATTACTTGGGCATGTCCAGGAGTTGGTCAAGATCCACCCCTCGGAAGGTGAACTTCCTGAAGGTCCTCTTCTTCTTCTGAGTCTCATCTGCCTATGAGGGGACACATGGAAAAAAGACAATTTGACACTCGTTAGATACGTATGACAATCGAATGTGCGGTTACATCAATATTACTTTGACGATACGTCTTGAGAACCGACTAAAATGTACGTTTCGCGCGATTACGCTTAGCGCAATGGATGTGTGAGAATTTCGTGGATATTAAATTTTATAAACCCACCTCAGCCATGTTTGCGCCTTGTTTTCAAAGAGAAGGAACGCGAAAGGGCGACGGGAGGATAGGAAACGGAAGAACACGCTTCTCCGGCGAAATTTTCACGCGCATGCGTGGTAAACGCGTTTCGTATCCTGCTGTAGGGGATAAGTTACAGGAGGTCTGTTCGTTATTGCACTTCTTCACACTCAGAATTTTCGCCTTCTTTTCTCTTCAATATCCAAATTAATCGTTTTCGTTTTAAAAATTGATGTAAAAATTTTTGGAGCTCTCAACGCGACCAAATCTATTAATTCAGTCTTACGTTGCTTGCATCTTTTGCACTCAAAATGCTCGCTTTTTCTTTCAATCTCCAAGAATTTTTGCCGTAAAACGAGAAATAAATATGGATTTGTGGATAAATATTTACATATTTGGAAAGAAAAAGCGTTAGAAGAGAAAACGAAGATTTTGAGTCATATAGAAAGCGCAAGCAAACACGAACGGACCTAAAACTTCCTTTCTCTTTCATTGGACACGCGATTGTGGAATGCGCCAAATTGCGCAATCTACGTTTTATTTTAGGATCTATGGATCGGAGACGGTGACTGTCATCAGCGCCACGCGGACATTATAGGTGATCCGTAGTGATCACCGATCACCGACCACCGCTTGTATGTGGGAGGTTGGTCGACACTTGACGTCTGTGCTTGTCAATTACTATTTTCTCTCTCTCTCTTTCTCTCTCTCTGGTCGTGGTTTTTATATTTTTACGTAAGAATGCGAGTTCAAGATTACGAACACTGACACTTGGCCGCTCGGTGTATAATTGAAAATTAATAAGTGGTGAGTACGTCGGATCGCTCGAATACGTTTCGAAAAGTGATAAAAATACAACGAGCGAGACGCGGAGCGTTTACTTTCGTACGAATTTGTACTTTTACTACTTATGCCCGTATTTAACAATAACAGACTTGACGTTCACCAAAGTGTTTCTCTCCCACACAGAATCATCATTGATGTCGTCGAATTTTCTAACACAAGCGCTCACCACCGAGGTACTCTTCAGAAATGCCAATGGGATACAGCTAACGCTGGAAGAGAAAGCGAGTCTGTCGAATGCGAATATCATAAACTTTGCGTTGCGAAGCGGAAAGCACATCAATGTCAATTTATGGTTAACGTTAGCCTGCGCAATTCTCCTCGTGTGGATCGTATCGGGAACTTTAGTCTCCCTCGTTGTCTCGGCGTGTATCCTGATAGTGCAATGTAAATCGTTCGTCGCTTCTATTAAACAAGGTAAATTGCAATTCTTAAAAGAAGTAGAATTTCTAACAGGATCATTTTATAAAAGATAAGCAGACTGTTAATTATATATGTATTGTTTTGTAGACACGTTGCTGGTTGTAGAGTCGGTGGGTGTGCATATCGAGAGCATAAGAGGATTTGGCATTTTCAGATCGACAGAATTCCTGCCATGGGACACGGTAGAAGATATATTCATCAATGAAGTCATAAAAGGAGTAAGTCTTGTGCTTGTTTTATGCGCATTTGTGCCACAGTAGCGAAATGAAATGATTCAAACTTCTAATTGACTGGATTTCAGCAAAGGGTGCTCTACTGTCTCACATTCATTGTGAAAGATTCGATCAGTCGGCAGGGTTCGAGAAGACTAGTTCCCCTGTTTCAAGATCTATTGCCCGAGAGGAAATGCCTGGAATATATGTACGAACGCTTAGCCAACTTGATTGGTTCGACCAAGAGAAAGAGTCTCTACTAACCATTCCTGGCTCCTACTGGCTGTGCCATAAGAAGAACATATATAAATTCATCTTCAGATACCATCGTGCGGTGAAGTAAGACAGTTGGAAGACATTATCCTGTTAATTTTAAATCGTCTCGTTAATTGGCTGCATTCAGCAGAAAAAGTGGTTTTGCAACTGTTGTAAAATTCTTTAATATGATTGGTTTATATACATTTAGATTCATGAAGAACTAAAGGCAAGAACCAATCGTGTTGAAGAATCTTACAACAGTTGCAAAGCTGCTTTCTCTGCTGAACGCCTTTATTAATTTTTTAGAAAATTTTATTTACACCTATTTTCCAGAAATACCATGCAGTTTTCGCACGGACGAGAATTATTAAAAATTATTCGGAGAATTATCAAGTGTCATCCAACGCAGGGTCAACAATTCGGCACGCAACATCTTCTCGTTACTTACAGTATCCTTTTCTTTGATATTTCCGTTTGATTAATATTTTTTTTCTCGATAAGACCTTTCAACGTATATAAATTCCTTTACTCTAATCGAATTTAAAAAATACAGACTGCACATCTTGGACTCGACAGGACAAAATGTTTGCAATCATGAAATTTCAGCAACGAACCAACGCCGCTGCATTTTCGCACGCATTCGTGCTGACCATCAGGACCTTCTGTTCGTCCGAGCACTCGTTGTTCGATTTGAAGTATCCTATCGTTAAGGAAGCCGACGCGGGTGCTACGTTCAAAGATTTGAACATTTCCCTGGACACCGAGGAGAAAATTATTAGTAACGTGATACCCGCCGCTGACAAAGTGGTATCCTCGAGGAAGGATACAATGTGTCAAACTAAAAAATTAGATCAGGTTGCGGAATATAATGGTATCGAGGACGTGTTGAGTAAAGCATTGGAAACGACCATCGGTTCTAATTTTCAAGATAACAACGCAAAGGAGTCTGCGATCTTCCGGGAAAATCTGGATGAAGGAGTTGAGAGTGCCACAACTGCGGCTGAAATGCATTTTGTCGGTAACCGTAGCATAGAATTTTATAATGACATACAAGAAAATAAGTCTGTAAAGTGTAATAATGAGAGATACGAAGAGAACGTAGAACAGCGTTCTGTCGATTGTGTACAAGGGCAATCTCCAAGAGCAGCGGAGACGGATAAAATTGAAATTACAAAGGCGGATGGATTGAAGGAAGAGAAAGAAACGGGATCGACAGGAGTACAGAAGCAAAATCAACAAACACGAGATATCGATAAATATGCGATAATAAATAAAATGCGAAATTCATTGAAATCTCTTATAGGACTGAATGAGAGGCCGTTGTCGGATAAATTCGATCTCGATGGAAAGTCAATGGAGAAAGGTGATATTTGCACTAAAAATAGTAAAGACAATTTGAACGATAACAAAGAGACGACCGGTGGAAATACGGACTCTGGCAACGAGCCAGACCGTCAATATTTCATTGAGGCAGAGACGGAGGATGCAAAGTCCAACTTTACCGATCAACCGGAGCAAAAGACTCCGCGGACCGAGATAAAGACTGCAAATAAAGATTGTGTTCCAAAAATGAACAAAGAAAGTAACAAGTCAGTTCACAAGAGACACGAAGATCATTGCAATGAGGTGATCAACTTGGAATGTCAAGGGAGCGATGGGCAGCACACTAGAAATTCAACGAGCGTCGACGATAAACAGTCGGAGAGTAATGCGCACGGTAAGTCGCAGTGCAAAGCTCGTAAGCAGAAGAGCAGGGAATCCGAGAGGAAGGCCGTGCCCGACAAGGTTCTGCGCTCCTCCAACATCACCGATCTGGTAATGGAGGGCCTGATGTTCACCATACGGCAGGACCGGGACAGCGTGGCCGTCATCGAGCAGAAGACTAAATTGGAAGTGGACGAGGTCTTGGAGAATTCCGAGAAGGTCGAGACGAAGGCCGGAGAGAAGTGTCTGTTGAATTCGAGCTTGCTGCGGCTGGAGAACCTGGTGACCATGATCGACTCTCCGCGCGCTAAAGGCGAGCAGCGCAAGAGTCGCCACGCGATCGGCAGTACCGTAAATCTGTCGCCGTTCAATCTTTTCCCCAACGAGACTGTATATGATGTAAATATTAACGACGCAGATGCGGGATTAGATGAATCTAGCGTTTCTAATTACGACAGGTCTAACGCGATGAAACACTTACCGCTCGGCCGGGACTCCCCGCGCGGTAACGGCGAGCAGCACGAGAGTCGCCACGCGATCGGCAGTACCGCAAATCTGTCGCCGTTCAATCTTTTTCCTAACGGCACTGTATATAATGTAAATATCAATGATGTAGATGCAGGATTAGATAAATCTAGCGTTTCCAATTACGACAGGTCTAACGCGAAGAAACATTATTTGCTCGACCAGCCGCGACGGCAGCATCAACGCGTTCCCTCTAGCAATAAGAGTAGCGACAGTTGTTCGGCAAGCGAGATCTCGACGGAGAAGTACTATGGACTATTAATGGAAAGCGGTGGCGACGAGCGAGACAAGAGATACAATGATAACACCGAGACGGATGAAGAAGAGCGGGACATTGTGCCTGAGATTTCGGCATCTAAGCAAGTGAATGCGGGACCGTGTGATACAAGTTCACCGATGGTTAACAGAAATATCGAAGAGATGGATAAATGTGATAAATCGAGGAGAGGAAATTATAATTCTCCGCTATCAAATTCCTCGCTGAATCCGAGTAAGATGTCCACGAAGGCGATTTCTGTAACTTCCAAGGAATCCAGTTCGATCGAATTGCCGCGACAGGAGGCGAATGTTCCGAAAATAGTTTCGAACAAGACTGTCATCATCGAGCAGATGCCAACGGCCTTGCGGAAGGTTTTACGACACACGTGCAGAACGCGCAGGTTCTCCTCGACGACCGGCAGTGGGGCGTTGCGACGGAGTGAACAGAAGATGCCACCCGCGGCAATGACAGGCGACACAATTTCCGAAGCGAGTGTCCTGTTGCAGGAAGACAAATCATGCGCGAGTCCCGACGTAGCGAACAATTCGTTGCCTGTCGAATTTACGATTAACTCGGCAAAAACGCGGAGCGGCGACGACGAGAAATCTTCCGTGACGCACGACCAGGATATTCCGCGGGCGACTAGAGACACACGTGTGAGGAGCTCAAAAAGGAGGCACGAGACCCGTCGCACTTTGCGAAGGAGCTCGAAGCACGGCTCGCCGAGAAAATTGCAGGACATCACGGAGGAGTTTTATTATGACTTGTTGCACGTACACAACAAGGACAACGCCATCCGGCAGAGATGCCTCAGGCAGAAGCAGAGATCTCTGAACAGTCTCGACGACGTCAAGAGCGGCAAGGTGCGCATAGACATGCTGAAGTTCATTCAGGACATCACGGAGGGTGCTAGAGTGGTGGTGACACGTCTGAATATAGACAATAAATCTAATTTATTAGAGAAAAATTCTAATTTAATTTAACAATGTGCGCTCGCCGAAAATGCATTCAATGCGGATTTCGTGAGAAAATAATTTTATCACACTCCCGTATATACTTTACTGTATATTATATAAACACACTACGTATATCATAGATCTGTTTGTTGTCGCTGCATTGAAAACTGCACTACAACTGTCTTTCTCGTAAACTTTATAATAAATATGTATTTCATTTTTAAGTGCAACAAATGTACGCTGGTTCAGCTACGAAGGACAGAACAATTATTCTCTAAATCATGATGAATTATAAATAAGATGACCGTGACTTCATATAATTCTCATGCAGCATCTTACTCTTATCCTAATCCTGATAGAATTGATTAATAAACATGCTCTTAAGGACTCTGTTATTTAATTTATTTTCCAAGAGCGAATATGTTTAAAAAAAGATATTTTCTTCCAAATTTTTATTTTTTGTATTATTTTTTTTTTTAGAAACAAGATAAAATTTCTTTGACATTTTCTTGTAATAAAATTGTTTTTTTAGTTTTAATGTTTAGGAGAGAATTACTTTTCATTGTATTTACTTTACAAATTGTATTACTCTAATTAATAAAATATTAAATTGTTTCTTTGATTTAGAACAAGTAATATCTCCTTTTGTAAAAATATACAAAATATAAAATTATGTCTTTTATATTCGAGATTATTACTTTTCACGAAACTCCTCTTAAGTATCCCATAATCATATTTTCCGATTTCCGTTTAAAAATCCGAAAGGCTTAAAAAAATAACATCTAAGCGACCAGATTAAATAATAATTTGAATAGATCGTCAATTAAAGAACCTAATTAGAGAATCAATGAGATCGTGGCGAAGAATTATTAGAAATAATTTTGTACATACCAGTACCTCTTATTTTTTATTTGAAATTTAAATTTAAACGTTTTATGCTCCTTAAATGTAGTGTAGTTAACCAGCGAAAACATGTAATAAAACGAGATAAATGAATAATGAATAAAAAATAAATTATAATATTCCGATCAATATTTTAGCAATGCATTGAATTAAATTTTATTTCTAAAATAAAATTGTGGAACAAACGTTGACATTAAATCGTTTTTCAATGGATATATATTTACCTCGTAATATATTATCCGAATATATCACAAGAATGTCGCTGGACGAGTGTATATGTTACAATAAAATTAATAAAAAAAAAGATACAAGTAAAATGAATAAAACGCGCCAAACACCGATATTCACGCCGCTTAAAAATTTCCAAACAAGATATTTAATAGTTTTTATTTTAATATAATAATGATGATAAAAGTAATTATAGTAGCAATAATAATATATAATATAATAATAATAATAATAATAATAATAGATAATATTTAACATATCGTAAGTTTCCATTCACAGAGCACGCTAAGTTAGTACATGTACAAGGTTTCTTTACAAAAATAATAACAATGTTTTGATGCAACATTGCCGATCGGTAATATCTTTTTTTTTTATTTCTGTTAAAATGCCGTAGTAACTTTCAGAACTCTTAGCCGTTTCCCAAATTAATTGCATGATGTCTTTGGTATGTTAACGTCGGACAGCACATTATGGATGGTTTGGTATGTCGGATGTACATATAGATGTAGATACCCGCTTATTATCCATCATCGTCATAAAATGCTCGCGAGAGTGAGCGTCGCACGAAGATTGTCATTTCTAAGAGCCAGCCACCGGAGAGCAACGCGGAATAAAAAAAGGTTGAGAAATACATCTCTCCCTTCGGCAAATCGCGAATTTCAGATAAGATTCCAAGATGGTATAATCCAACAGAGTAAGAAATCAATGGCCGTAATCATTGATGGTGAATATTATTGCTTTGATATTGACTAAACGTTATAACTATAATATTGATCATGTAACGAGCAATATTACACACTACTATTGCAAATTGAAAACGTTTCGGAAAAATATTGTGAATACTGTACTTCAGTTTGTTCTGATTCTCAGCGATTTCGCAGAATTTGTGAGCCAAGATTCTTAACTACGATATTGTGAAAATCGTTGAAAAGTAAAATTTTGGAATAGGGAAAATATATGTCATACATAACGTTACTTTACGATATATTAAAGTCGAGACTCGTAGGTCAAATTTTTGAAAGGACAAGAAGTCTGCATTTACTGAATTTTGCAATAAATTAATTAGTAATTTTGAATAATATAATTTTGCGACCGATCTTTCGCTCGGCTAGAAGAAACCGCGTGACATCATTTAATAGCGTTATTTCATACATCTAAAATTACAGTTAACTCAACATAATTTAAATAATGCTATTTACCTCAGCTACATGGTAAAAGATAATTATTCGATGGTGCGAAGGAAACGGCATTTGTATTATGTTTTTTTTTTGGATGACATTTTGGTGTCGTTATCTCATTATTTGTGTGATCGTCGCGCAGAAATACAATACGCGACGTTGTCTGACGTAATAAAATGTCATCTGATACATTAATTGTACCATTAATCGTTACCCCTCTTAAAGCTGGGTTATCATAGTGCTTCTCATCACTGACGATGACAATTTACAAGATACAAAAATCGTAATAAGGCTCTCGTTTGACTGGCTTGGATGCGGCCGAGTCAGGGAAAAGCGTTAGATTAGTGGAAATACTATAGTGAGCCATCGGGTGACATAGAAAGAGATAGATCTCAAAATGATTTCCTTGCACATATATGCTGCTTTATAAAACTCAGGAGAATTAATGTTAATATTATGTTTGATTTGGAAACGAAAGAAAACATAATATGTGCAAAATGTAAGGACAATTTTACTAATTAGCTATATGTATATGCATATAATTTCATTCAATCAGTTCCAAGGTATTACAGCGAATGTTTTACTAATAAATTTCCTTAGAAACAGCATCAAACGATATACAAAATTAGCAAACGCTATTTTTTTTCTTTTTCCTTTCATGTCGTCCGATGGTTCTGCTTTAAATACGCATTCTGGATTTGGATGTGACACAGTGCACACAATCACACATTCTATTCTCAGCACTCGTTTCGATACTGTGTATTTCATACATTCCTTTTCACAAACAAGTCCTTATTAAATAGTTTTATTGAAATAATAAGAATAATTTCTAATAGTAAACAAATAGTCATAATTACATTAGTTAATAATAATAATAATAATAATAATAGTATACGTATCATTATTATTATTATGTAGTATATAATATATATATAGTAATAATAAATTAGGAACCACGTACAATATGAAATATGGAAAATTAAATTAGAATACATTCTGTTAATGAGGACTATTTATAAATAATAAAAATACCATTTGTATTCGCTTTTATAAATGTTTAGGCCACGCTTTCGTTTCTTACATTAAACTTTTCTCTCTTTCTCTCTAGCTCTACCTTCTTCTTTTGTAGTAAGCAGAAATCTTGAGTAGTTCGAATAAGAGAAAGCCGTTTGTCGTCCTATTATTTAATGTGTCTCAAAGCGACGAGCGACGGGTGGGTGATTAATATGAAAAAGGTGAAACAAAGTATATTTGGAAGCTTTTCTTCTGTGTGTTTTTTTTTTACTCGAGAGTATCTACAAATATACAAATTACTATTGAATCGTCGTTCAATGTCTTCAGTATCTTTTCCGTCTCCCCCGTTAGGTATGTTCTTTCAACGAATTATAGAATTATAAAAATATGCATTTTGGTTTTTCTTTTTTTTTTTTCTTTTGAAGCGCAGTGCGCATGGTACGATGAGGTATCAGGCTGATGGAAAGTAGTACAGCGTAATACGAAAACGTTGCTTTTTCTTAAATAATATTAATATATAGTTTACGACCCGGGATTCTTTTAACGTAAAAATAATTTATTATTTACAAGAAGCTGAGACAAAATGGATAAGGAGGCCCAGCTTCCTACACGATGCAATATCTCCAAATATATATATATTCCACTCTATTGCAATTGTTAACATTTATGCTATATAAATTATAAACCGGCAATCTTTTTTGGAAAGATTCGAGTAGACAAAGTGGGACGTGAGAAAAAATCATAATTCTGGTTGCAATTGTGCACGTAATCGGAGACCGAGCCTTTTATCTAAATAAATAAATAACGAAACAAGAGAGAACGATGCATGATCAATATAATTTAATATTAGACAATATAGCAGTTTTCTTGATTTTGCCAAACAGTTTAACAATGTCGGCATGTTACTCCTTTATTTTTACGTATGAGACGAATATTAAATGAGAAATGATAATTAATCGAAATTAATATCCGAAATGACATATATACGTACATCATTCCGTATTAATTTCATTGCTTTTGGAATCGAGATAAATAGGACAAAAAAGTTGCTAGAAATTCTTTGAATTTCATACTCAACATTCACCCATGTAAAACGGATGACGTTATTTAGTTTCGCAGTTCTTCATCATGAAATTACGCGAATTACGAGCTGCGCTTACAATGTCACTGAATTTATTGTTCTACTGTATTTGTTTTTTTTTTTCTATATTTCGTAATATAATAGCTAACGACGCTTTGCAATTCTGCCGTTTTTTTTTTAATTATTTTTATCGCTTGCAATTACAGATATGGAAACGAAAATTGATTCACTATAAGTACGTCATTTTTTTTGTGTGCCTAAGATTTGGTAAACGATATTTCGCGTTACAGGAGCAAAACGTCTTGAGAAAATATTTGTCAATATATAACAGTACAACGCCGGATGGCGATCTGACGTCAATAGACTTTCTAACCGATTAGTAATAAATAGCATCTCTATTTTTAGCGGCAAAATGTACTTCATATGTGCTTATAGGGAACTATTGCTTTCTGGTAAGACATCGGATTTAATCTAGATTTTAAATCTTAGATACTTCTACGTAAGACACATATGTTCATCAACCCTTTGATACTAATGGTACGTTCAATCGCGTTCGCGAACATTCTTTGGAAGAGCCTAAGTGAAAGTGTAAATGCAAGTTACCGGATCTAATCGCGACGTATTAGACCTCTGCGAACGGGAACGTGAGATATCGTGAGAACGTTATTTAGGTTTATCATCCGAAGGATTAAAGTCTTTCACAAATAACAGAGTTAGAATCGAGTGTGGGTATAGCATACGTACCAAGGATCAAAGGTTTTATTACCTTGTCTACTATCAGCGCTCTTTACAGCTATTGATTTCGTGTTTTACAAGATTTTTCGTCACTAGCGTGTGTCAGCGTCCTGCGCTCGTAACACGGTTAGCAATTGGACGACGCTCATCGCGAATTTTAATGAGAGAAATAGACGGACAATTTTCTCTCTCTCTCTCTCTCTCTCTTTCTCTTTTCTCTATTTGATCTTTCTTTGATCAGGTGTACCACAACTATTTGCTTTCTTACAAACGAGAGTAGAAAGGCACTACTTTGCAACTGATGCGTGTATTATTTTCTCTTTCTTTTTTTTTTGTTCTTCGTTGATGAGTGATGACAGTGAGACGCGATACTATACAAACGTTTGCGTAAAAACCAACATTCAATGGTCGCGAATCTGTCACTTTCACAGAAGAATCCTACGGAAATGCGTTTCTCGTCCTCGAACGTCACATCATTATTCATGCGAAGACCTGTTCCATTTTTTTTTTAAATAGATTTTTCGGACGAAAGATTTATTTCTTCGCGAATCGTTCGTTCGAGATGGTTCGTTTAGAGGGAATTACACGATAATCGACGAGCGTCAAACGTCCCTTCGATCAAACGGAGGACACGAGTGCGACAGTACGGGAATGTCTTGACGATAACGATACAGCAATCGAAGAGAGCCGGACATCGTCGTGCCGGTATACGTGTCATTAGCTCAGAAATGTACTCGATTTTTGCGTACGTTTCTTCATCACCGTGTTTAGGATGGTCGCTGAATCGCTCGCTGAATCGAACACAGTTGGATTATTTCCCAATGAGTTCGCTAAATAAAGGCTACTAAAGGCCGCTGCTTGTCCCTCGAGATATCTCAGACTACCTTCAGCTAATCGAGTGGTTTATTCGACGATCCTTCGCACGACTCGAGTACCGCCGATAACGAATCCTCGCGGCAAAACGTTGTATATGGACGACGCGTCACGTAGTTCGCTATTGGCTCGAGTGCTTGTTCTCGCTGATGGATGCCATCCTCATCGACTCCGTTTCTGGACAATTCCAGTTGGGCATTCTCGTTTGCTCTATCGTCGCCTAAGTGAAGATATTTCGAACGATGCATTATTATTATTATTATTATTATTATTGTTATTTATTACGTTACAACTTTGCTTTGCGAATTTGTCAGAGAATCTGCACTTTGTATGCACTTCGATCTGGCGTTAATATTTCGATACAGCCACGTGATACAAGCTTCATCGAGCTTACCGAGCTGTTAGAATTCTTGGCCATGAAGATCATAAGAGAGCGGCTGCGGTTGCTAAACGGCCTCAGCTCCGGATCTCGGCCAGGACCATCCACCGTGTCGACGCAGTTATTGCTGCAACGAGAAGGAAAAAAGTCGAATGTAATATTTGCCGTGCGTCTGTGAAGAATCTGCACGGACAAGGGTTGCGAAGACTCCTTCGAGGAGCCAAAGTTACGAACCCGAGTTCCTGCTACAAAAATGAAATAACGATAATAAATATAGTAGACGATCAATTACCTCGACCGTAATTCCTTCTGTTTTCGCTTACAATGGATGTAAGCCGTTATACAAATGATAACGACGAGGAATACTGCTATTGTGGCACCACCGGCGATGCTGGCTGTCTCCAACATTACTCGTTGACGTGAAGCTGTCAAGGAGAAAGCCATTTTTATTTCCCACTTTGTTGAATAATACATTCGAAAGAGGAGTAAATTAATTGCGATATTTCAATAACTTTGGCGCATTTAATTATGTGTTAATATAGAAAAAAAATTCAGAAAATTCCAGGGCATGTAGTTTTTTTATTTTCATTATAAACTTTGTTAAATATAACTTTGATAAAAATATAATATTTTTGTCTAGAAATTGTAGTTTATTAATATATAATAAATTGAATTAATAATATTAAATTAATTAGATTAATTTAATATTATTAATTCAATTAATTTCGGCTTGAATGTTTGCATACACCATATTATTCTACTTTTGTTAATAACTGCGATACAACTAGTCAGAGTGAAATTTGATCTTTATTTGTGATATAGTGTTGAAAACTTTCAAAAACTGTTCTCATATCGCATCGCCAAAGTTATCAGATGTTATTCTTTGAGAGCAGCAAGTCTACTTACGTAAATAGGAACCATCCAAATCTTTAAACTCGCATCTTTGCCCGATATATCCATTGGCGCATCTGCGAAGCAAAATATCACAAATAATTACATTAATTGAAGAAACATCACGAATGTAGAGTTCGCGCGTTTAACCGTTCTCTTTTTGTTTCATAATTTAAATAATGGGAAAATGGTCGATTAGTGAATATATAATTAGGCTTAATTACAAGCCTAAATTATTGAGCTTAATTATAAGAAAGGATTAAAAGAATTGTTAGTCGAGTGAGCAAATTGGTTTCAATCAAGCGCGTGATTGTGTGATAACTAAAACGTTCTCATAATGAATTTTGTTAAACGGTACTCAAATATTAATCTTTGCCAGACGATATAATTAATCGAGTAAGATTAAAAGAAAATCAAATATTTACATTCGTATTATATACACGAATGTGCTTTGAATAAACCAATATAGCCATCCCGGATAATGGCATGTATTTGAACAAATTTCTAATAAATTATATAAATCATATCATTTCTTAACACACAATGGAAAACCTTTAATATTGTTCTTAGTAGTTAAATTTTTCTGTAATATTTAAGTAGAAACAATTGGTCGCTTAGTTACACACACAGTTAATAGCACAGATCACGTTACTTTTGCGAAAGAAGGAAAAAATCGTATAATCTCATTGCGAATTCACAATAACATTGTCGGAAGAATATTAATGTTCTCGATTGTGCGCAACAATTATTCATTGTATTATCCCTTTAGTTTTTTTTTTCACAAAGGTGGCATTGATCGATTACGATAATCCTTCGTTCACGTTTTAGAATTTACTTTAAGATTATCAACTGACGATCGTTATTCTTCCGATATATCTCCTTACCGCTCAACTCGATCGCAATTTCACGCGTTACTGCTCGTAAAGAAAAAACAACTTGGCTGGTATTCATAGTCCGATCTTATATTCAAGATCGTGTCTTAAGTACGATCTTGAGACTCGCTTTACAGTCATTTCATTGGCTAGATGGAATCTTAAAACAGCTCATGACCTAACTCAAATTGAATCTAAAAAAGAACTACGAATATCGCTCTTAAAATTGCAAATGTAAAATTTAATTTTAAGATTTAGTCGTATTCGATCTTTTCTAATTTTGTTTGAATTTTCGCAGTCTCGATCAGGTTTTCATTTAATTTTAAGATTAAAAAGAGATTAATCTCTCTCTCTTCGTCAGTCTTGACATGAAATTGCGAAGATATAACTATACAAATAATCTTTCCTATGATCGCATGCGAAACCACTTCTTTCGTTTCTACTGGCCAAAAGTCTTGTTACTTTTTTCGAGGAAATTTAAAGACGGGTTTTATGTGTAAATTTACACATAATTGTTAAATTTATACGTTAAATTGTAACACACATATCTAAACAATGTATTGAATCGTTTTGTTTGATTCTCTTCGGTCAGGTAAATTCATTATTCAGCCCATAAACAACTTTCTAGCTTTCTCAACAATAAACTTGCCAAGTAGATTTTGACGGTCTCTAGATTTTCTAATTTTTCTCACCTAGAGAATTTGTACCGATCGAAAAAAATAGCATTCTAATGTCTGGGGAATATAATAGAATATTTTAATAAAAAGGCAGGATGTTTTATACAAAGCTTCAAGAACTTTTTTGGCCGTTAGTCAAAGAAATAAAAGGTTTGGGACGCACAATTTCAATGAGTATGCACCTCGACCAGAGGGCCTCTACTCTCGAAAAATTTTGCATACGAAAATGTACGAAAATACTATTTGTATTTATTACGTATACGGTAGATTTCCCTAATATTTTCACATGCAAAATTTCTCGAAAATAAGACCCCAGTACTAAATCAATTTTCAAAGTCTTGACATTTCATTAAAACGAATGATGTCTATATTTCATGTTGCTTTGTGTGTTTCAGTTATAAAATAAATCCATTTTTCTTAGGAACAGGATTATAGCACAACTAATACATTTAATCTTTTCAATCTTTCAAGTCATTTGATGTTTGTACGTTTTTATAGGCTTTTCTTTTATTGCTAGACTGCATTCAATAAAATCTGCCACGCGGCACTTAAAAATTCACGGGAAAATGTGACTGTTAGATTAATTCAAATCGGACGCGACAAGCGCGAGATGAGAGGCGGACGACTCGATTCAAGCGGCAGATCGCGGTCGACAAAGCAAACACCGTGGGAAATGGTAAGGTTGAGTGAGCACGATGTGCTCCGCACTCCTCGATGCTATTCCGATGTTAATCCGATTACTTGATAGACCTTTTTTCCCGTCTCTCTCGCGATATTTAAATTCAACTCCGCTCGACGCTTCCAGCATTAATCTCGCGAATGCATCGAATCGTCGTCGAGCGATAGTTTAGTCGAATTCGTCGTAAGAGAAAACGAAAAAAAAACAAAATCAAGAGAAAACGTCGATGAAGTTGGTCGAAAAGTGCTGGTGGCATTCGGGGAAAACACTCGTCGAACACAATTCGACAGGAATTTCAGCGTACGTGCTGAGGTCGCGTAGTCACAGATTAACGGCTGAACAACACGACGCGAGTTCAGTGATGCCGGCTCTCTCCCTCTGGGTGGTTCTTTCGCCCGGAACCGCCACGATTGTTCGTGACCGCGTCTCGCACAGTGAGGCGTCCGATGGAGGCCCGGAGCTCACAATACTCCCGTACGCGTTCTCGCATAAATATCAAGACATTTTTCCGAAGGATTCCGATTGTCGTGTCACACAGCGTACGCGGAAATTTCTGCCACGGAAAATCCGCAGATGGACACGCATTTCACGTGATTTTACTGCCGCTCGACGACGGTCGAATGGAAATTGGGCGTGCGCATATTTCGAAGTTTCAAAAGGAAGGACAGGAATCTCGTATACTTACAGACAGTTGTACAGGAGGGAGTCGACAATTTTTACGGTGAAACACGTGGCGCCGTTCAAGCAATACCACTCTGCGTAATCCGGTGGACACGTGTACATGTGGAATGTGATATTCGGCCGATCCGTCGGCGTCGGGGGCCTTGGTTTTGGCGTTGAACGTGATGAGCAAGCGTCTGCAGATAAAATATATAACAATTGATATAGGTATACAATTGACTAGATCCTTCTTTTTTTTTTTAATTTACGCGTCGCGTCGCGATGACCGCTTTCATCTTTCGCGCATGCCAATAGATCAGTTTCACCAGAGACGATTTCAAGTTTAACAATTTTAAGTCTTGCCCACTTCAAAAGTATTATATGTCGTGTATACAATAATTAGTTTATTTCTTTCATTATTATTGTTATTACTAGAGAAATTCTCGTTTCGCATTGCACGTAGATAATCAGTTGTTATCGGAGATAATTAATGACTGATGATCATATATAAGCGTTCGGTCCCATTATCGAGATGAGAGGAGAGAGCGAGTGAATAACCGGATAAACTACTAAGGCGCTTCAGGAATTTTGTCGGTTTTTCCAGGTTCGTTGAACACAATGGATGGGGTCGTGCTTCTTCCTCGCTCGTCTACTCACACCCTCGCTTTTTTTCCAAACATCTACGCACGCGGCACCGGCGGCGGTGGCCACCCTAGCGAAGAGGAGAGGTAAGGAGAGGTAAGGTGAGGTGAGGTGAAAGGAGAGGGTGAGATGAGGTGAGGTGAGGTAAGATGAGGTGAGGTGAGGTAAGATGAGGTGAGGTGAGGCGAGATGAAGTGAGGTGAGGTGAGGTGAGGTGAGGTGAGGTGAGGTGAGGTGAGGTGAGGTGAGGTGAGGCGAGGCGAAGCAAGGCGAGGTGAAGCGAGGGAGGGGGATGAGAGCGCGTGCATCTCGCAGGCGCGAGACTGTACACAAAGCTGCAAAGTACAGCTAAGGCGGCAATGGTTGCATCTGTCCCGCGCGTGGCTGCTGTCCGTCACCTGTTGTAATTTTACAATCTGCCGTTTCCACACCCCGACAAAGCTTCACGCTCCGTACGCTTCAGTTTATCGAGCAGGCGCGGCGTTTTATCTTTTCCTCATGAGAAACTCGCGTGCGTTCTCTCCCTCTCTCTCTCTCTATTTCAATTTTATCTGTAGTAAATAAGCAACTAAAAGTTATCTTTAAATTTTACAATTGTCTCGTTACATCATTGTCATTCGGTTAATGATTCAGATTTATCGGTTGTACCTTCAGTCGCTTCTACGCGCCTACTTCGCTTCATCTTTCACGGTACATCGAGAGATAGATACGCGAGTGCAGATGTGTGCGGGGAAGATAACCGTGTTTGACAGGCATACGCCAAAGTTGGCGGAGGGCCTTTGTAATTGCAGCGCGACGCGAGAGGCGTGAGGAACAGGGAAACGGATAACGATACTCCCAACGTCGATTATCTCGACGGTTTTACGCCGGGACCAGGTGCAACGTGACTCGCGAGTACTATTACATTACACATATTTGCTCGTATCGTCTGGCATAAGTCGCGCATAAAATGAGCGCTTTGTCGCGAGGGCGAAGGCTCCGCTCGGCGCACGGAAATATTTTGTACGGCAGCACTTTTGTCCGCCTTGCCCGCAAGAAAAAAGGAAGGGAAAAAAGAGAAAAAAAAGAAGAGAGAAAGAGAGAGAGAGAAAGAGAAAAACGACAGATTGTAAGATTGTGGCGCAACGAGCGTAACAAGTGGCGAAGAACGCAACACGGGCGACTGATTCACCGTGTAATGCGAAACGATAATTTATCCTCTTTAAGTACACGCTATTTCCATGGGCGTTTCTCTTTCTTCCTTCTTGGTCGTTGTTCCCGATAAATACGGGCGACCGCCAAATTGTAACGTGGCTTATAAATGCAAATACGGAGTATATAAGCGCAATTTAAGGATGTACTGTAAAATTTAACTCGCTCCTTTAAGCCGCGCGTCTGTCTTACATACGATACGCGTACACGACGAGTATAATGTGCGTGCCAATACCAACCTGCTATACCGAAGAGAGTGTAGGAAAGAAGTAGTATAGTCGTGAGGTAAGGCGGAATTTTGCATCCTCTCGCCATGGCAGTGACGACAGAGGGGTTAGCGACGGCGGTGGTCGCGATAGGCGAGGTTCGTGCGAGAGGATGGACGGAGGTCGTCGTCTCGGTTCGATGGACCCCGTTGACTTCGGCGTCAACATCGCCGCCGCTTCCGCGAGACCGCCGATCGTAGAACCGATGAAGGCGAGGATGGAGACGTTCGTGACACATCTTATCGTCCTCCTTCTCCACCTCGTCGTTGTCGTCATCGTCATCGTTGTCGTCGTCGTCGTCATCGTCGTCGTCGTCGTCGTCGTCGTCATCGTCCTCCTCCTCGTCGTCGTTCCCGTTGTTCTCGTCGTCGGCCTCGTCTCGGTCGTTATCGCTGCCGCCGCTGCCGTCGTCGCTGCCGTTATCGCTGCCCTCGCCATCGCTGCCCCCGTCATCGATGTCCCTTCGATGGTGGTATCGTTGACGCGACGAAGCTGCGTGACGATGGCTGTGACAACGGAGATGGCAGAGGTAGGGCGGCGCGTGATAGCGGCGACCGGCGACGCCGCTGTCGTCGCAGGGGACCTCGCTCCTCGTCACCGACGAGCTAATCGCCTCGACTGATATCCCACCCGCCTCGCGGCATCCTCTATCGTTGACCTCTCCTTCTTGCGTTTCCTCGGCAGCGCGGGCGACACCACCTGGGCCCGAACTCCGGCGCACGTGCCGCCGCTTCCCTGAAACCAGATACCCGTCCGGGCGGCCGTTTATAATGTGTTTTATCTCGGGTGAAGAACTTCGGGATCTAGCGAACCCCACCAACCAGGCCCCACCGGGCCCACCAGGCCCGATGACAAGCAGCAGGACGGGGACGGCTGTTGGGCCGCGGTAGGATCATCGGATTCGCTTTTCAAAATAGAGTGGGTTTTTTTTTTTTTCAATTCGATCGCTTGCTGTCGCTTTTATCGTCGGTTTGCATGGATTTTTTCAGAGTAAAAATTATGCGCAAGAAAATGATAGAAAACGAGAGAAAGAGAAAAAATAAAAATAAATCAATTAAAAAACCGTGTAATTTTTCTTATATTATATACTACATAGTTTTAACTTGCATACGATAAAACCAAATATGCAACATCAATGCGATGCATTTGCAGAAGGTATATAATAAGCGAACGGTATCGGTTTGACAAATTTCAATCGAAGGAGATACCGAGCCTTGAAAAAAAATGAATTCAAGAGGAGTCATTGACAACGATGAGTCGTGCACTTTAGCGGAATTCGATACGTGCCAAACTGTACGCAGATATCGCAGAAAAACTAGGCGTGCATTACTCAACCGTTTCCCGTCACCTGCGAGCCATTGAGAAAGTGAAAAAGCTAACTAACGGAAAGGAAATACCGCATGCCGATTGGAAGTTGGCAATTCTCTCTTCTCGCACGAAACAAAAGGGATGCCTTTTTCTTTGCACAGGATTGTAATGTGTGACGAAAAATGGATTCTACGACAATCCGCTCAATGGCTTGCTGACAAAGCGCATACCGAAACGAACTCTTCACCTAAGAAAGATTACGGTGACTGTTGGCGCGGTTTACAGATGGTTTACGAATCCATCATTTTTTTCCTCAAACGGAGCATCTAGACATAGAAATATTGCGCAAGAAAATGTAATAAAAAGTAATACACGAGCCGACTTGCATCAGTTGACACATGTTATATTGCTTCGTGACAACTATTCGATTACTCATCGTCGCGTCGCAACAACAGTTATAATTATCGAATCGATTATAATGGTGAATCTTTATTTATTATTTCAGTCGAAGGCTTTGAGGGATTTATTGCACCCAAAAAATTCAGATTTAGTGAAGATGTAAACGCGTTTCTATTTTTGGGAAAAGCGCGTTGCTTTTGCTGACTTCTTTTAATTAATAAAATTTATTTTAATAAGCAAGGCTACTACAATTTAAACTATTTAAAGCTTCACTAAAAAATCGCGCATTATGTGTGCGATACCTAATAGTGTTCGGAATAATAATATTAGTAGTATTTGCAACGATAAACAGGGATTACTAATTTCAAATCTCAATTCTTCCAAATCAATGCACAAATGTTGACTAACGAATGACAACTAAATGATTAATTATCGATGTTTCATAAACATTTTAATAATTGATAAATTTATACGTGCTGCAGTATATTGGTAATTAAGTAAAATGGTATACACATATTGTTTTTGCACGCAAAGATGTAATAGAAATAAAAAAAAAATAAACATATTTTACACTTTTCGCAGAAACAATGTGAGCATACTAGATTATGTATGTAGATATACATTAATGGACTTGAAATACAATTATAGCTAATATGTATGACCTTGTTCCAATAAACACGTAGTGATTGCCATGAACGCGGGAAGTAAATAAGATCCGATTTGCTTGTTTTATCCCTAAAAAGATTGTAAAAGACGCGAGCGTGTGTACACAGCCGACGTCGGTATTATCCCCCCGGAGTTACAATTAAGTAGAAAGTCAAAGCAATCGGATCTAAAGCACCGTCGACGGCGGCGACGCACCTTTTCTCGAGGAATCTTATCGCAACGCCACGTGCTTCCATCGTGATTCATCCCGCCTTTAATTTACGACGGACGACGATACGGACTGTGTAAATAATAGATGTGCCGCGTGTGTTGCAACCTTTGTCATTAGGCAGAAAAAAAAACTATTGAAATGATTTTTTTTTCTAAGTGTCACACACACATACACACGCGCGACGCCGTTACTCGCCGACATGCACGAGTGCGAAATCCTCTACGTCAAAGTGTGCATGACGTCAATCGCCGTTCAAATATTCAACCGTGCGACTAGTCACTGTGTGTGTGTGTGTGTGTGTGTGTGTGTGTGTGTGTTGTCGATACTTTTCACGATTCCTTTCAAGGTCCGATACCAGATCGAAAGCGACTCGGGGAGAGGACGTCCCCGCGGCGGTCGGTCGGGGTACATTATAAATGAATTAATGCGCGCGGGATATCCGGTATGCGGTTGCGAATACACACCGTTTACCGCGATATCTCCGTTATCTCGGAGCCCTCGCGGCTCCGCCCGCCGCGGCGCGCCGATCGCGGAGAGCAATTTCTCACGTCACGAAATAAACGAGTGAAAACGACGAGCGTTTTACACGTAACGTTACGTTTTTTTTTCCCCCCGCGGAGTGTGCCTCACGCACGCCCGCCGCCTCCATTCGGGAGGAAACGGACGGACGAACGGCGACGAGGAGGGAAGGAGAGCGAAGCATAAAGCGCGCGCGATGGTCCTAACCAGCGGTGACTTTAAGTACGACCCACGTTCCTTCTATAATAATTGGCCATTTCCCTGGCCGGCCGTGTCGCCTCCCGGAGCTCAAGTTTCTCCTCGTTTCGACCGACTGGTGAAATAATTCTTAACGCGAATCGCGAATCGCCTTGAATTTAGGTTATTTTCTAATTGCATGCTTTTCAGCGCAACGTCCGCTCACGCTTGCTCAGACTCGCGTGCGCCTCCAGCCTCGAGCGGCGCTCGTACTATTATTTTAACGAAGTAACATGCGATTCTTATTTCTTGCTCACTTCCATCTCAAAAAAGTATTCATCTCAACTTAGGATAATTAAAAAAAAAAAATTAAATTAATAACCTAGTTCAACAACGCGAATAAGGGATCGAGCCAGAGTACTGAAAAATATATCATGTTGCATCGTTGGATAGTGATTTTCGGGACTCTTAAAGACAGCAACATACATGTGAGAAATCTTGGGTGTGCCTTGGAGTCACGTGTCTTTTGAAAGCTGCTGCAGCTACCGATAGACGAAGAAAGAAAGATGGAAGAGAGAGAGAGAGAGAGAGAGAGGGGAAGCGGAAATTTTCCGGATAGAGAAGGGTCCCGAATAGGCAGCGAGACCGGTCCGGCACCAGCTGCGACTCGTCCAAACACGGAAATTTATAAGTTCCCGAGAGATATGTCGACGAAGAAACAAGAACGTTCTCCCGCGTGCTTTACCATGCTTGGCTGTAGCTGAAGTGGCGAGCTCTCGTCGAGCTCGTAACTTTGAGCACACGGAGACGCGATCGAAAAACACACGAGTCTCGAAGATAAAATTTGCGGCGAAGTGTGTCGCGCAAAGTTTTTGAAGTTACAAGGCAGAAAAACGCGCAGCCGGTTTCTGCCAGATGGCCGACGGATCTACGTCTAACGATACCATCGACAGAAATCGCCGGATCGGAAGTGATCCGTAATTGCCATTCGGTTATTATCGCTTTTCACGCTACGTTAATCCGTATCTCGATCGAGCATCGTTCGCGCTAGCCGGAAGAAAACGATCATTCGTCGCCTCCCTGATTTCCGCGTGATTTTGACAAATGCATGTTTGCGTAGCAAAAATTCCCCCTTAAAAAAAAAAGAGGACACGGAGAAGTTCCCCCTTCCAAAAAGAATAATACAAAACATATTTTTATCCTCGAAGATTATTCAAATCTTTCTCTCTCTCTCTCTTTCTCTCTTTTTCTTCTTCCTCGAAAAGGGATAGTAATCGAGACGCGTATCGAGAGGAATGGAAGGGTCGTGCCGATCGATGGTATCGATAAAAAAGCAACGCGCGCTCTCGATAATATAATGCTGGACTAGAGCAGGACGTATCTTTTCCACTCGATAGAGCTCGGGGGCACTCATAGGCGGGGCCATGTGTCTAAAGAAGACGGGATCGCACATGTCCACCTCGTCCACCTCGGGTATTCATGTCGGTATTCATGGCGAGCAGCTGCCGAATGCACTTCAACGCCATTACCTGCTTTTCGCAACGCTCGCATCGCGAGACGATTATGTCCTCCGGCCGGCCCCGGCACGCGCGCGCCCGCTCTCTTTTACCACCCCTTTTTTTTTTATGTAGGTATACCACTGGTAATAATATCGTTTTGCAACGTGTCACACACGTCGATTAGCCCTCCGCGATATTGTTTCGCGATTTTCGGTCGAAATTAAAGGTAAAACGACTGCGATAAAGAACGATCGTGGAACGCGCAATTTCCTTCACGAGACACATGTGTCGCGTTGTGGTCTGTTGTGTGAAAACGTGATCGTCGCTGATGATTGGAAAAATCGTCTTCCTCCCACGAAAGAGAGAGAGAGAGAGAGAGAGAGAGAGAATCCCGCATATTTGAAAAATATCATCAGACACTCAGAATAATTGGTATTCGAGAGCAAAAATTAAGTAACTTAACGAACGAGAGAGGAGATATACGGTGCAATTAATTGTAAATGCATTTTTAAATTGTAAATGCTGTTATTTAGATATCATTGGAATATTATTTTCAATATTTTTCATGTACGTTTATTGTAGTTAAATGATGTAAAACGAAAAAAACTGGGCAAGATTGACGAATCGCTGAAAATGTATAAGCGATACGTCATTCACATTCGCGATTGCGTCAAAGCCGGTTACTGCGCGGTAATTACTTCCGGATTTCACTATATTCTCACGCAAATGTTCCTGCCCGCCGCATACGGTATTAAATCCGAAAGCTGAAAACATGCCATTCAATAAATCGAATCAAAGTTTTTCACGAAAGTGGACCTCAGTGGGATTTCAAATCTTGTCATATACGTGTCCACCTCCCTCTTCCCTCTCCCTCTCAACTCCCTCTCAAAAAGAGAGAAAAGAAAAAAGAAAAAGATAAGGGAGACAGAGAGAAATACAGAGAGAGAGAGAGAGAG